GAAGGTACGTCCCACACTACACAGTAAATCTTCCCAAAATCCCTTCTGAACTTTTTGTCTACTTTCCCCAAACTCTCTCTCATCTGCTGCCAGTTGTCTTCCTTCCTGTTTTCCGAGCCCACAGCCTTTTCGGTCTCCCCAGTGCCAGCCTCATCTAACTTCCCAGGTTTCATGTCACTCCCACACTCAACTCTCTCTATCCCTCGAGAAATGATTTGCTTTCTCAAATTAAAAACTTTCCCACCCCCCATCATCTCATTAAGAATTTTCTGTATGACCTGTCCTCCTTAGACTTCACAGGGGATGGGAAATAGCAAATAACTTTCTCCCCTTCCTGGAACTGAGTTTCACCCCACCCTTGGTATCTGCGCCTTGTCTTCTTGGCCATCTGCTCTGAGGTCCAAATTGTGAGAAGCTTATTTTCTAGTCCTTCAGAATCTTTGAATAACAACAGAATCTTGATATTCTTGATGCCCTGGGTTATTCTGAAATCTGCTGCTGATATTTTATAGCTCTCATGCATGGGGAAATGATGTCATTGATTTGTTCTGTATGATGCTAACAGTAGAGGTTTAAGAATCAAGAAAGACCTGGGCACAAATCGATTCTCTGCCATTTGATAGCTGTGCAGCCATGGTGGGTCATATAACCTCGTATTGCTTTAGTCCTCATCTACTATAGAGCTGTAAAGCTAAATGTGATCAATCATGTTAAAGCACTTGGCATGAAACTGCTCAAAAGATGATAGTTATTCTTATAATTTCTTATGTTGTTGTCGTTGAGTTGTTGCTGTTACTGAGGACAGTATATATATCAGTATCTCTTTTTTTCTTCGTCTTTCTAGCTTTTCCTTTTCTGGTCAGGTAGCTCATGCCTACCTGAGAGCACTAGTGATTTCTGGGCACACAGACTCGCAACATTTCTAGCCGCTCTTTATGAAGTCATGTCACTGAGGTCTAGTCAATGGAAGGTGGACAGAAATGATGTGAGCCATGTCTAGGCCTGCTCATAACATCCTCCCCTGAGAAATTCTTCATACCCTTTCCCCTTCCCCTTGGGTAACACATTTTGATTTTGGATGCTGACTTTAGTATCAATATGTAAGGTGCCTAGGTTCCCTGAATTAATGCAGACCACCGATTAGTAATCCCGAGTAGCTGTACATGATCAAGAAACACACTCTTTCGTATTTAATCCCATTACACATTTTGGGGTTTGTTTGTTAGTAGCCAGCATTTTCTTAACTAATGTAGAAATTAGTACCTTGAAGCGGTATGATAAAAACAACAACAACAAAAAAAAACAAAAAAAAATATAAAGCAGTAACTTAATGTTAAGGCAGCGGGGCTGCGAAGAAACTGACCTGAAGAACTGGAAAGCTGTGGTTGCCTAGAGCTGAGAGCACGGGGAGGGATGGACTGAAAGGGGTACAAGGGATCTCCTGGAAGTGATAGAAACATTTCATATCTTGACTAGAGGAGTTGTTTCCCAGATGTCTACAATTGTCAAAATTCATCAAATTGTAGACGTTAAATGGATGCAGTTTATTGTCTAAAAATTATATCTTTATAAGTTGTTGGGAAAAAAACAACTCCCATCTATGGGAAACGCCCTATCTTGTATCAGGTTTCCAGGCCCTGAGGTGAAGATTTCTGTGTGATTTATTAAGTGAGTGCTCTCAGGAGAAACCAGCAGAGGTGTGAGGATGCAGGGCAGGGAGGGAAGACGCCAGCAGGAGTGTGATCTCAGGCAAAGCCCCCCAAGGGCAGCTCCTGCCTAATCCTGAGGGGAGTATGTGTGTGTGTGTGTGTGTGTGGGGGGTGCTCTGTGGAGCACAAGGGTCAGAGTTTGTCCTGCCTCAAGGCCAGGGAGTAGGAGAGATGCCTTGTGCACACCGTCAAAATGGTTCCTGCAGCCTGAGGGCAGCTCTCCACGGAGAGTAATAGGTGCAGGTGGTTGGAAGCCAGGGGACACAGAAGCTGGGGAAGGGGTGCACAGAAGTGGCCAAAGGGACCCACGAGGATCCAGCAGAGCGCCGCCAACATCCTTCACGCACGCTTAAAAGGAGAACTTGGTCCTTGTTATAAGGAAGTGTAATATGCACATTTTCTTCAGATCCTTTTAAAGAAGTGTAGAATTAAAACAAAGGTGCTCTGACATAAAAATAAGCTGCTGAATCTTGGACATGGGCCACTGGAGTGGGATGAAGGTCCACTAGCCCAACCCCTCTGCCACCATGCCATCCATGATCCCTAGAGCCACATCCACGGACCTCTAGAGAGGCAGCGGACACAGTGGTTAGAGGTGGGGCATTGGAATCAGATAGAAGCGGGTCCCAGGACGAGCCCCACTATTTTCTGGTTGTGTGATCTTGGGCTTGTTGCTAAACCGACTTGCCTTAGTTCCTCATCTGAGAAATAACAAAAACAAGATAAGGCCCACAAACCCCTTAGCAGAGTCCCCGGTGTGACACAAGTGCTCAGGAAAAGCTGTTTTCATTATTAAACAATAATTTCTCTGCTCTCCTCCAATTCCCCACCATCAACAGCAGCCCCCACCCTGGTCACTCCTGGTCGCTGTCTGAGTCCATTCTCTCCATCTGGTATTCAGGACTGACATACCCTTTTTTCAACCCCACACTGGCTCTTTTCTCTTCCAAAGCAGAGACTTTGACACATTTTTTTTAAAAAGTTATTATTATTCATTCAGGATTTGCACTGCTCAAAACAGAAGCTTGGCACATTTTAAAAGTCCCCAGAGTGATCTGGGGGGTAGGATGCAAAACAATACCCCATGTGTAAGCTCACCATCCACTCCTCTCCACCCTGATGTCACACTTGTCGGTGTCCTGCCAACCCCTGTGGCTTATGGAAGCCTCCAGAACACCATATTACTTAGTTGTGAACAAAGAAGAAATTAAATGTTCCCACACGGTAAGAAACATTTCTGGCTGCTATTTGGAGAAAGAGGAGAGATTAGCTTAATCTATCTATTATCCATCGTCTATCCTTTATCTCTCTTATTTCTCTTGTCTATTCTATATTCTCTCTCTCTCTCTCCCTCCCTCCCCCCTCCCTCTCTCATTTCCAAGACCCCATCTCACAGTGTGAGATATCATGAAAGATCCACATTATGCAGGTTGGTCTCTATTTATACAGAGATGCATTATGTTAGCACTTGGTTAACAGGCACTTCCCAGAGTTCAGGGAGAAAAGTATTTTCTGCATCATTTCTAAATCATTATTGATTTTTTTCTTCATAATCATATTTATTTACTAAGTTGTATGTGTGGGGGGGGAGGGGGAAAGAAGGGGGGGTTATGACAGAAAGAGAGTCCTGAGAAATGCACGTAGAGTTGGACAAGGACTCTGGAATTTTCTAATTGAAACTCTCACCTGTGGGGAACGTTTTCCTTATTCTGACATAGCATTTTTATTACAAACATGATGGTCCTTCCTGCCTTCTTTCATTTGTTCAGAAAGTACCTAGTGCCAATTGTGTGCAGGTGTGAGGGAGGCAGCAGCAAGCGGGGAAGGCCTGGCCCCTGACCCCAGCGAGCTGACCTCACAGGGGCGAGTGCACCGCATGTGAAACGCCACATAGGTTGTGCTTCGCCAGCTCCATCAGCGGGCTCCCAGGACAGCCCCCCTTCTGGGAGATGCTGCCGAGACTGCTCTTGTTCACTGGACTAGAAAGCTGCCTTCTTATAACCTTTACACCCTGGGCTGCCTCACAGGTCACATTGCAAAGGCCAGCGCTATAGTAACATACAACCACGAAGAACTTCGGAGCTTCTCTTTTTCACACCAGAGGCTTCCAGTTCCCCTACTTCTTCTCTGACAGGGGTTCTGCTGACCCAGCTGAGCCTGAATGCTGACTGGTAAGCTCCCTCAAGCTGGGGCCCCCAGGATGCCCGTGAGCCCCTCACCCCCACCCCCACCCCGCAGAGTCCTATCTTTTTGTATCATTTGAAGCATACACCATAGTCTTACACACACAGCAGATGTTTATAATAATAAACACTTGGTGAATTTCACTGACTTTCCACTTAGCTACTTTATCAAAAATCACACCATACCTGGTAAGAGCTCTTCCCACAAATGCTAGTGAGCGGGCCACCTTACAAAGACATCCCTACTCTGAGCCCAGCTGGCCACATCAGCACCCAGCGCAGGCATTTGGCACTGCCCTGTGAAGCTCATTCACAGTGACACTCTCCCCACACCTTATGTTTGCTCAGCCCTGTCTGCTCTGAGCCTTTCCCACATACCTACCCCGTTTCCTCAAAAATAAGACCTAACCAGAAAATAAGCCCTCGCATGATTTTGGGTGCCAAAATATGGCACCTTGGCATACTAAATATTTTAAGCCGAAGGAATTTGTGGAAAAGGCACCCTTCTCCCTGAAACAGGTCATAAAACCCTCGTGTGAGGGGTGCGTGCCCTCCACATCCTGGAGGAATCATGCTATGGCTTCTTCTCCAGATCGGTCTTATTTTTGGGGAAACACGGTAGCTGGTTTCACAGCAACCCTATGATGTTGTTGTTATTATTTCCACTTTCCAGATGAGAAAAGCCGAGGTCCAGCAAGATTAAATGATTAACCCAGGGTCAGCAGCTGTAGGCACCACAACTGAAACTCAAGCCTCAAGTCTTCTTGGATTGTGTAAATTTGTGCTACCACCTGCCTCATCAGTCTCCTACTGAGCACTGGAGAATAATTAAGTTATTCCCGAGTGGTCATTCTGCCTTCCCAGGGATTTTTCAATATTGCTTTTTTATCCTGCCTCCCCCATGGATCAAAGCAATGCTTATTCAAGAATTATGCCCTCCTCCCCACAAAATGAGCAATGCCCAGTGAATACAGAAACCCTAAGGAAGCTGCTGAATAAACATCATAAACGTCAGCAGCATTCATCTCAAGGGTTACTCAACTGAGTGTTTAGCATGAGATCTCAATCATATAGAAGAACTGCACCAAAGTTGATATCTTCCTGAAAACTTGCAAAACCTGAGATGCTAGCCTGTTCAAAAGAGGAAGCAGCGTTTTCCCCTACCTTACTAATATCTCTCACCGGATGGTATTTCCCCTTCATCAGTGGCGAGACCTAAGCAACCACTGGACGCATAAAGGACTTAGCAGGTACCACTTGTTTTCTTTTTATTCTCACCTGGGAGAGAACGTATTACAGGCAACAGAACTTGCTTATTTAGAAGAGACTTCCAGGTAGACTGTCAGGTTTCTAGGAAAAAGAGATGGAGTGAGGGGGGTCTAGGCAGGTGGGAGCACTACCTCCCCAAAGTGCCCTTGGATCAAGGAGGCAGAGGGGAGGGAAGCCCACCGCAATTTCATAGGGAATACGAGACCAAAGTGGGCGAGTGTGTCGTGAAATATGTCCATTACTTTCTTGCTTTCGCCCCTCTTCCTTTTCTTTCTCACACCCATGCCATGACACACTTGCCTCTTCCACGTATCCAAACTTGGGCTTTTATACCTCCTCAGTCACTATGCCCATAACTGCGCCCATGTTGCCTTCCCTGTGCTTTCATAAATTCTCAGCTACTGAGAACATGACCACTCCAAAAGAGTCACACTTACTTAGTATTCGTATTTATGGATACTGACTTGTTAGAAAGTCAGTGAGAAAATATTTTACATATATGTGCATGGGTACATACATTTATATATTACTACTCTGTGTATGTTTTTATACACACACACACACACACACACACACACACATTTCAAGTTTTCATTGAAAATCCACCCTAAGTCAGGCTATTAGATGAATCAGTTGGTTGATTGATTTTGTGTCTTTTTGTCTGGACCTACAAGATTGGCTGCTTTTCCTGGACCTGTATTAGAGGGTAGGGACAGAAAGCTTTCCTAATCTTCTAAGAAACCTTGAATTGGCTGTGATTAAAATGAACTGTTGTTTGACAAGTGTTTTGAGGGAGGACGGTGGGAATATGGAATCAGTATGGCACATGGAAACATTAGGAGCTGGCATGTATCTGCCCTTTTGTCAGAAGGTGGTGATAATTGCTTTAAACCATGCGGGCTGAGATATTTCTACTGGAAAAAGAAGTGTATGACTCAATAAGAAAAAGCAGGTATACCCAGCAGAATAAAATGGACAAAGGGCACAAACAGATAATTCACAGGACAGGAAACACGAATGACTAATAATTAGTCTAAAAAGAAAAACCTCAGGATATCCTCCATGTCATTATTGGCCAAATAATTTTTTTTTCAATCTTCTCTGTGTTATGGGTGCTTTCTGAGGCTGGCACCATCATTCACTAGTGCCAAGAGTATCTACATTGCTTCACACTTTCTGGAAACAATTTGGCAAAATGAATCAAGAGACTTAGAAATACAGGTAGAAATTGTGCTTTGGATAATCTACTTTAAGGAATAGTAACACATGCAAAGATGTTTATTGCAGTTATTTATAGAAGTGCAAATGGGGAACACGATCATCACACAACAATAAGACAAGGATTAAGTTATAATATCTATACAATATGTTGGCATCATCACAAATTATGTTTTCTAATAATTTTTAACCACATGGAACTAGGTGCAGGGTATAAAATTTAAATTATCAGAATACAAAATTATATACACGTGTGATATCAATTATAACACACATGGTACCTAGAAACGAGGTGGTTGCTCTCTCTCCATGGTGTAGGTGGAGGTGGAGGTACCAGGCGCCAGGATTCTGAACACCCCCCAACCACGTTAATTTGACTGCCTGGGCACACCTTCCCTATGACAACATTCTTCACCATCAGCTCTCAACTAAATAACATATCAGCCTGTATAGAAATACTAAAAATCAGCCACATTTTGGAAACACTTGCTATTAAAATATAAAGACTAAATCTAATTTTTTGGAGAAAGAACTTGGTAAGAATATACAAAATCACTTGGCAAGTGGATGAAGCCAAACTGCTTTAAATGAACTGACCACACTCTGAGAGTGGGGTGTAACCTCTGCTCTAGTCACTAATAAGGATGGTTGGCTGCTGTGGAAGTCCATGTGCCATCCTAAAATACAAATGCCGGGATTTGCCCTCAGCGGGGAAGAAGATTGCATTTATTCGTGATTTTAACCTTGAGAGGTTCTGTGTATGTCCAGGGAGAGAGCCTGCTGGCTCCGGGACAGCCCATTCTGCCCCCGCACAACTTGGTAGCTCTTGGCCAGGTCTCCCCATGTGTGACCGAGGGTAGCTTCCTGCAATACCATCAAATTTCTCCTCTCTGGAGAGT